CACCCTCCATACTCAGGCCTTTTCGCTGTGTTCGATCCCTTGGCCTCATTCAGTCGAACCACAGTACCTCAAATAGTTTAAAGACGTCGTCTACGTAGGAGGGTGCAGCCGCCGCCTCCCGGCTAACTATGGCGTCCCAAGACTCCGCCTCTACCTCTAGGCGGTCATACCTGCCTATTCTTAGGACGATGATGACTTCCTCGGCTTTATCCCCGTTGAAGGGCCCATATTTCAATGAGAGGCTATAGAACTCCTCAGTCAGCCAGGCGCACTCTATATGCACCTTTCTCATGGAGTCGGCTACTTCTAAAATGTGCTCAAGCCCCCCAAACCATTCGGCTATGAATTCCGGTACCCAAGCTATTATCCGTAGACTTGGGGGCTTGAGTTCCTTCCATCCCCATCACAACTCTGCTACTAACTTCGTCCCATCCCTCGTTGGCGAACAACTTGCCTTCCTCTCGGGTTCGGGCCTCTGCATCCCCTAGAAGCCACATCGGGTCTTGTCCCATTGCTAACATGGTGCAAAACAGGTGCCATCCATCCTCGGAAAGGACAATCGTTCCAACTGACTCTACCTTGCCTTCTGCTATATCATCCCAACCTTCCTCTTCCCTTATCGGGTTCCAAATCCGCTCTATCCATACATATGACAAGTCTCGGGCAACCTCAAACCCAATCCAGTCACACGTGGTCCCTCTCCATCCGTTCCCTGTTGGTATAGGCATTTTTATTCCTCCTCTGAGTCGTCGTGGTTCCCAGCCTTTGAAGGGGTATTCCATCATCCTTTCTTCTCTAGTCATCTTTCCCCTTTCGTGCACAATACCAGACCACCCGTCCTCCCTAAGTTAAGTCACCCTACCCCTCTTAGAAGTCCCAGTCCTCTATCTCTTCATCTTCATCTTCATCACTGAAGTCGTCCTCCTCGTCGTACACCAACTCCCTTACCCCATCTAGGAACGTCTCCCCTATTGCCACATTCCTGTAGATTATCCCCCAATGCACAGTGCTAGGAACAAAGATATTGTTTATCCTAAGACAGTTTAGTAGCTCGGCTAGCTCGTCCGCCCAGTTCCCCTCGAACGGCCCCATCTCTACCGATAACCGAAAAAAATCTTGCCTAGCGCATTGGTATAGCCCGAGGTTCGTCATGGACTAGCATATCCGTACTAGCCTGCTCCGCGTTCCAAAAACTGCATCCACTAGGAAGGGGGGCAGCACACATCGCATGGTTCTTACGGGTCGCCTCATGCTTCCCCTATTCCCAAGTTCCATTCGCACGTCTACCTTTTCCATTTCCATTTCCCGCCGCTGACATGCATCCCACACAACCTGTGTTGTTGCCTTCCTAAACAATTCGTCCGGCGTATTCCCGAGTGCCAACTCTATGATCATAGCTCTCTCCCCACCTTGCGACAAGTAGACCCACCCCGGGCTTCCACGGTCCCTCGGAATTCCAAATCCATTAAACTTGGTGACAACCTCGTCAAGCTGACATTAGTCCATATTGTTTCTATCCAAAGGAAAGCATCCTTTCCTTCCAGCATTACCGTTTGATATGCTGGTTCAAGGTCCGTCCATGTTCCATTTTTCGGGAGGACGACCGATACCCCATCCTTTACGTCTACTGACATTTCTGGACCGCTGGTATAAGTCGGGGGAGACAACCATCGCGCCATCTTGTTTCCAGCACCCGGCCCCTGTTTTCATGAAAGAGTACCAACCGGCTCTTCTGGTGAGGCCAACCCTTTTTCCTAAATGAGGATTATTTCAGACCCCCCATTAAGGTATCCCTAATTTACCTTCCCATTCCTAAGTACCCCTTTTCCCATAATTCCCTCGGGCGGCCATCCATTTGCCCACATTCTCTTTCTTGGTTCCATTCCAACTGACCTCTATCCTTCTTCCTTCCGATCATTTGTCACTCGTGTGGACTTAGAAGGGAGGGGGAATAGACTTAGAAGAGTGCCCGTCCAACAGTCCAATCTCAATCAATTTTTACAGAGGGGGAACACAAAAAAATAAGGCAACCTCACATACGGGTCGGTCATCTCCTCACCGGCCATCCCAATATGGTCTCTCCGCTGGTACTATCCCATACCTCAAGCACAACTCAACCGTCGCGAGCGGGGTACCCAGGTCTCAGCAAGGCTTTCGCCCTTTCCTCCTTACCCAGAATACCCCATCCCGACTTGCCGCTCGTGTACCCACCGTTAATCTCGGGAATCACCCCGCACATCTCAGTAGGGCCATTGGAGCCAGTCGTCCAGGCATTCACTTCCATCGGTCCGATAAGGATCAGTTTTTCCCAAACTATGCTACGAGAAGCTCCCAATCGCCTCCAAGGCTCCTTCCTTGCCCCATATGCAGTGGTCCCCCTGCCGTCTGCCGCCAAGCAGCCGCCCCGCCTGAAGAGGTTTCACATCCCACCTGGGCAAGATCATCGAGCCATGCTCGGACCGCTCCGGTGAGAATGCTACTAGTCAGCCGACGAGACCAACCCTTGCCTGACAGTCTGGTGGCCCGACCCCCACACACGGAACCCGGTGAACTTCAAAGAGGACGACCAGCTCGCATCCCGCACTGGCCGGCGCAAACCAATCCTTTCCTTCCAAATGGCAGGACGATCATGCAATCACAAGTCCCAAGTGGGACACACATAGTACAAGTACCTTTCCCTTGGTGCACCCAGCGCTTCCTACCCATAACTCACAGATCTTCTCTCAGGACAATGAGTGTCATTCCCTCTACTTTAATGCATAGTGGTTGGTTCCTTCTCGTGAGAGTCTTCAAGGGTGAGCTAGTTTTCCTTGGAGTCTAGCAACTCCCTTCATTCCCTTCTCTTCACTTGTATGTCCTTTCATAGGGTAGGATTGTTCTTTCTTGATGACCCGTTGTGTTCATATTGGTTCCTTCAATCATTAAAAAAAGTGCAAAGTGCATGAGCGCGCTGGGCTCAAAAGAAGAAGGGGAAAGCACCCATCCGGTCGGATCACTCCGCCATGGGATTTTCATTGGAACCTGGCCTAAGCCAAGCACCAACCGCCTGCCAGGTAACCGGAGCCCTTCTTCCATACAAAGAGGAAGGGTCGACCTGCGACTTGCCCAAGACTTCCCCGGACTGGCGAACACCAGCACCGGATGAAGGAGGGCTAGAGCCATTCCTCAAAGGAACGGCTGATCAAGTCCAAAGCATGCATGTTATTCCTCCAGGCCTGGCCATACCATGCGCCCAGCCGCCCTCAAATCTGATTTCTCACAAGGGAAAGAGCAAACACAAGTCCATTTTCCTTATCTTGGGTTGTGTACACGTCAATGCGTCGGGCGCCCCCATCGGAATCGCAAGGGTCAATTTAACCCCTGCCCGTCACCTCCACCACTTTTGTAGGGCCGAACCCCGGTAGACTTTCGAGCCTTAGTCGACCCCACTGCGGGTCCCAGTTGGCTCGGCCCGCCCACACTCATGCTCAGGGCGCGGGCTATTCGTCCCAAGGTCACCCC